CAACCGTTCACAAACAGTCACGATGACACCACAAATGTCTCAAATTGGCAAATGCCAAGCTAGCCTTATGAATATGTGTAGCCACTTGATTCGTTATGAGTCCGCCGGGGGCGATATAGTGGACTTTATTACTTCCCCATTTACTGTGAAGTGAGGAGCTGGAACAACCCAGTCCTGTAGCAACATTTTGCACTTTGAAGATGCAAAACGCATGTGGAACATAGCTACAGTATAACTCTAAAAACCGAGAAAAACAGGCATCTTTCTCCATTAGCAGTTACATTATGTCGTCTGCATACTCCAAATCAGACAGTCTGCTCCCTGCGAGCATACCGATATCGCTATTCCCACATAAGTCCAGGGCAGTTTCCACAACCAAACACAAGCATCCGTTAAGCTACCCTCAGGAAATCGTCAGAATCTTTAATAAACCGCAACCTGGATTATCTTCCAATTGTGCATTCCCAGTCCGCAACAGTGGAACTCCTAGGGTTGAATATCAATGTGCGAACTACAAAGTATGCTCACTTGTATATCACATTCATGAAAGAGCATACACATTGGTCGGAAAAGTGATCTAGGTGTCCAATTAACATCTCAAAAGGTTACCGAACGGCAACAGTTTCATAACCGAAGCTGATTCCGTATTGTTCGAAAGCAAAAAGAACAAGACTTCATAAAAATCCCGCGCACAAAACTCTCAGAACTGGGGGCTCACCATCGCCTTGATTGCTGTACACGGCAGCAGTGCAACTGAACTTCGATGTCTCTAATCCGTACGATAAATTCGACCGGTTTCCTCGACCGGACTGATTGCCTTGCACCCTCAAAGCAATACGTGCCCGTCCGCGTAGACGGCGAAGTACTGCACGTACGCGCCGCCCTATCCGAGATGAAAGGGAACTGAAGAAAGCATCGTCACCGTCCTGCTCCTCCGCGTCGTCGTCATCTCCTTCGTCTTCGGAATCCTCATCCGCATCAACAGGATTATCTTCAGTAATCAAAAATTCCTGCTGATTATCATCTGGTTCGTCATTTAGCGCTGCCCGGGAAGCAGACCGACGGCTCGCGGAACCGTTTCGAGTGGGTGATGCTTGATTACGATTTTTGGGTCGTAAATGTTCTGCACCGTAACAATGTAAATAACCGCTGCACGGATCATGTGGATCCATTTTGCGACGGTCGTAGACACTAGGAAGCAAAAACAAATGAATGTTTGTCACGAAACAGTCGACAATGGGTCGGTACAGGGACACCATGAAAGCCTTAACTCACCGAATGATTGCTTCAGATCGACCACAAACAGCAATTTCATACGGTTTAACCGGGTTGGAGGCGATCGAAAAAAATTCCGAGAAAGGGAGCCACAGGATACTGAAGAGAAAAAAACGATAATGCAGGGGAGGGCGTTAAGTGTTGGAGAGTTTCATTATCGTTCACAATGTAGGCATTCATGTACGTGCCTTGAAAAGTGCCACGGCGTTCCACGAGACAGATGTTGCCTTTAAATAAACCATAAAAATAGGAGTTTTCTCGGACCCCAACGGGTAGTTGGAAGAAATCAACTGCAGCTAATATTACTGTTACTTCCTCAATATCAAGTAATATAGTGAGGGGTAGAGGACTCTTAGTGATACTCGATTAGTACAACCGTTCCACCTAAAAGCTTCATACGGTACATCTCTCTCTCACTCTCTCTCTCTCTGTGGGTTCTATTGGTTCACAAACGTTGAGTCTGAGCACGCGCAACATTCTGCTTCGCTTTACATTTCAACTAATCGATCATCGGTAAAAATCGCCTCCACAGTTAGTTCATCTTTGTCGACGCGATCCATCGGTTTGCGTACGTGCATGAGCAGAAGTATAGACCCGAGCAAGAAGCAGCATCGCGACGTGATGGAATGGGAGAAGATCAGATGTGCACTCTACTAGGAAGTAAACTTTGTTTCAACTTTGACTTCAACTATTAAACGTTTGAGAGATGCCTCTGGTTGCGGGCGAGCGGGAGGTAAGCGATTGAGAAGTCGAGTGCAAATACTATGACCATACACCTACGCCCACGGACGTAGGTAGATCAGTAACG